AACAAGACAAAATCTGAGAGAAGCAAACACCAAGAGAATCAGAGAAGAAGTTGAAAGTGGCAAAGGGTTGAAAAGAGCACAACAGGAGATGGAAAGAAGGCTCTGATTCAAGCACTGAAGGAGAAGGATGGAAAGGTAATAACAGACAGAAAAAGAATCCTCGAGAGATGTGCAGAATTCTATCAGGCACTGTACGAAGATCACTCCCAAAACATTCAGTTGAGACCAGCAGAAGAGACTCCAGTAATCATGAAATGTGAAGTGGAGAAGGCAATCCATCAGATGAAAACGGAAAATCACCCGGTGAAGATCTTGTGGTGATAGAGATGATAAAGGCCGGAGGTGACATCCTAATGGAAAAACTTCAGCATCTTTACAACAAAGCCATTGAGACGGAAAAAGTGCCAAAAGAGTGGAAGAACGCCATCATTATTCTACTCTTCAAGAAGGGAGACAAGAAAGATCTTGCAAACTACCGCCCCATCAGTTTGCTATCCCACATCTACAAGTTGTTCATGAAAATCATCAAGAACAGAATCAGTGGCACTCTGGATGAACATCAACCCCCAGAGCAAGCAGCATACAGGAAAGGATTCTCCACTGCAGACCACCTGCATGCTACAGGACAAATACTCGAGAAAACCAACGAGTACCAACAACCACTGTTCATGGCATTTGTAGATTACGAAAAGGCATTCGATTCCATCAAGCATGCCCCAGTATTCCAATCACTTGCGAAACACGGAGTACCAGGAAAGATCATAAACAGCATAAAGGAAACATACAGAGAAGGCACAGCACAAATAAGAACAGAAAAGCTGAGCGAAAAGATCAAGATAAAGAAAGGTGTCCGCCAAGGAGATACACTGTCACCTATCATGTTCACTGCTGCCATTGAAGAGATCTTCAAAAGAATACCATTGGAAAAAGAGTAATGAACAACTTAAGATTCGCAGATGACATCATCTTGTTTGCAAACAAAGAGGAAGATCTCAAGAACTTTGACGAAACTGAATGAAGAAGGAAAGAAAGATGGTATGAAAATGAATAAGAAAAACCAAGATCATGTGCAATGACATCGCAAGGAGGAAGCAAAGAAGAGTGATCAGAGTTGGAGAGAAGTTGGAGGAGGTGGAGGAGTAATGGAAAATGTTAAACCAAGAAATGAAATCAGTGTTGAGGTCAATCAAAGAATCAATGTCGGATGGAGAAGATTCGGGCAATACAGTCTAAAGGAGAAGAACATCAAACAGTTTGAAGAGGAAAATAATGGACACTGTCATTTTACCATCTATGACATACGGAGCAGAAACATGGGCGCTTACAAAACACCAATCAAGGAAGCTGGCAGTCACACAAAGGAGCATGGAGAGGAGCATACTAAATATCAGGCTAAAAGACAAGATCAGGAATGAAGTAATCAGAGAGAGAACCAGGGTGAAAGATGTCATCAAACAGCAAAAGAAATGAAAGGCAGATGGGCAGGCCATGTGGCAAGAATGGAAAACAACAGATGGGCCAAATTGACAACAGAATGGTACCCAAGAAACTGCACCAGAGGAAGAGGAAAGCCAAAGAGAAGATGGAGAGACGAGATCGAAGAGGAAACTAGAAAGACCTGGATGAGGAGAGCTAAAGACCGAATCGAGTGGAAGAAGTTGTGGAGGCCATCTGCCAGCAGTGGCGTGAACGGCTGATGATGATGATGATGAAGGTAATTGAATTAAATTATGTAGGCAAAACTTGTATCATCAAATAAATGAATAAGTGTCCCAACAGTCAGAATATTTTAACAGTCAATTTCCAATGAGAATACTTAATGCATCCAATTGTCAAAACAAAAAATCTCAAATAACCACACCTGTCAACACAAAAAATTGGCAAAAATCAAATATGCTTTAAACAAAGCAACTACATCAAGTATGAAGGAGAAATTAAATGTTATAATATTTTACATATAAGATGTTAAAAAATGAGTACAACAACTTCAATGACTACAATAACTTCAACAGCTTGGATCTCAAAACAGCCACTGTAATAACCTGAAAGTAGTCAATTACTGTATTCAACTGTATTCAATAACTTGGTCCAAACAACTCAGCCCCTATTCAACCCCTAATTTAATTGTAAGCCTAACTTTGACCATAGCTCCCAACCCTAACCTTAGCCTTTACCTAAACCATTATATGGAACATCGTGCTGTCAAACTGTGAAGAGTGCTTGGCAACCAATGCATCTTGAAATTGAATTGGCTGTTGTCCGAACACAATCTGATATAAATAGCTTGCACATAATAATCTTGGAATACATAAAATGTAAACTTAACATCTTCAACCTTCACATATTACAAATGGTAATAATGAAACAACAGTAATATGAGATCGACACAACATGCAAAAAATCACCATCAAATTTCACAATCCATGCAACCAACAACAAACACCATTTGTTAATTAACAACCCTTCGTAAACAAAAAATTGTATAAAAAAGACTTATACCATGCACGATATATTTTTTGGCTAAACAGTATAAAAGTTTGTGATGCATTACGTAACGTCACACTACAGCGTTCGTCATCGTTTGTTATCACAATGCATCACAATGCATCACACTACATCACAATGCATCACAATGTATCACACTACATCACAATGCATCACACTACATCACAATGCATCACAATGTATCACAATGCATCACAATGCATCACAATGTATCACAATGCATCACACTACATCACAATGCATCACAATGTATCACAATGTATCACAATGCATCACAATGTATCACAATGTATCACAATGTATCACAATGCATCACAATGTATCACAATGCATCACAATGCATCACAATGTATCACAATGTATCACAATGTATCACAATGTATCACAATGCATCACAATGTATCACAATGCATCACAATGCATCACAATGTATCACAATGCATCACAATGCATCACACACTACATCACAATGCATCACACTACATCACAATGCATCACAATGTATCACAATGCATCATCACAATGCATCACAATGCATCACACTACATCACAATGTATCACAATCCATCACAATCCATCACAATGCATCACAATGTATCACAATGCATCACAATGTATCACACTACATCACAACGCATCACAATGTATCACAATGCATCACACTACATCACAATGTATCACAATGCATCACAATCCATCACAATGCATCACAATGCATCACACTACATCACAATGCATCACAATGTATCACAATGCATCACACTACATCACAATGCATCACAATGCATCACACTACATCACAATGCATCACAATGTATCACAATGCATCACAATGCATCACAATGTATCACAATGCATCACACTACATCACAATGCATCACACTACATCACAATGTATCACAATGCATCACACTACATCACAATGCATCACAATGTATCACAATGCATCACAATGCATCACAATGTATCACAATGTATCACAATGTATCACACTACATCACAATGCATCACAATGCATCACACTACATCACAATGCATCACACTACATCACAATGTATCACAATGCATCACACTACATCACAATGCATCACAATGTATCACAATGCATCACAATGCATCACACTGCATCACAATGCATCACACTACATCACAATGCATCACAATGCATCACAATGTATCACAATGCATCACAATGCATCACAATGTATCACAATGCATCACAATGCATCACAATGTATCACAATGCATCACACTACATCACAATGCATCACAATGCATCACAATGTATCACAATGCATCACAATGCATCACAATGTATCACAATGCATCACAATGCATCACAATGTATCACAATGCATCACAATGCATCACAATGTATCACAATGCATCACAATCCATCACAATGCATCACAATGTATCACAATGCATCACAATGCATCACACTACATCACAATGTATCACAATGCATCACAATCCATCACAATGCATCACAATGTATCACAATGCATCACAATGTATCACACTACATCACAATGCATCACAATGTATCACAATGCATCACACTACATCACAATGTATCACAATGTATCACAATGCATCACAATCCATCACAATGCATCACAATGCATCACACTACATCACAATGCATCACAATGTATCACAATGCATCACACTACATCACAATGCATCACACTACATCACACTACATCACAATGTATCACAATGCATCACAATGTATCACACTACATCACAATGCATCACACTACATCACAATGTATCACAATGCATCACACTACATCACAATGCATCACAATGCATCACACTACATCACAATGCATCACAATGTATCACACTACATCACAATGCATCACAATGCATCACAATGCATCACACTACATCACAATGCATCACACTACATCACAATGTATCACAATGTATCAGAAATTTTCAATGATTTTGGACCATTGTCGAGGTATTACAGTCCAGTCGTTAAAATTGAATACTTTTTTATTAAAAATTTCGTAAAATTTATAAGAAACTCACTAAACTATATTTCAGTGTTCGTCAAAAGTTTACTAATCTATGAACTTAATTTACGATCTGGCAACTGAACACCAATTGTCAACACTGCCTTCCCAAAATGAAACCCCACAAAGATCAATGGAAACACAATGGCTTTGACTGCTTGAACCATTGGCTCGAATAGACTTTTGTCGCGCTTACTAGATTCAAGAAAATACTGAGTGCTCTAAAACAAATACACTGTTAGATGCTACAAGAGTGGTAAAAAACCCTTTTACCCCTCATTCATATGACAGAAAGCTAAAATCATTCACTTTTGAGTTAACGCATTAAGGTATCGTCGATTAATCGAGTTGTCTCATCTTAATTGGGTTTTGAGGTATAGTCTGTTGTGTTGAAGTGCATCCCTTTGAAGAACTTCATCACAATTCTTAGTTTTTTCACCAAGTTATATTAAATAGAAACACTCATCATTAGTATTCCAAAATCAAGTTTTATTAAACGTTCAATTAAATTATGTACATATATGGCAGTTACTGATCACTTGCTGTTAGTTCCTCGGCAACTGGGACAGAACCTTAAAAAGAAATCACATTCAATCCATCAGTTTGAATACTGTCTTTCACTATACGAAACTAATGTCTAATTCTGTTACCAAGGATCGGTGTCTGGTACAGCTTTAAGTTTCAAACAGACCATGTGGTAATAATTGTTTCCTGGACACTAAAATTGAAAGAATACTATACATGTTACATCTACTAAACAACTCAATATTTTATCTTTAAACGCTTTGTATTTTTTATTGATATAAGGCCTGGCTTTACAAAATGAGCAGGAGGCGAATCAATTAATAAAACGATAAAAAATATTGAACCTTTCTTGCTTTTCTTTTTCTGTTTTCGCAAACAATCATTTCGTCTTCTTCGTCCTTTGACCTTTCCTAATGAAGTGTGAAAAGTATGATAGTATATTATGATAAAAAGTACACGTTTATTCTTAAAAAACGAATCATAATTTTTCAAACCTTTTTGCAATAGCAATACTTGTATTTGGCTGCAAAGAAAAAAAAACCCAATTGTTTAGAGATATACATGTTGATTTATTAGAGAACTTCTGCCTTGTTATCATATTTCATATAATGAATGATGAAGGCAAACTGTCACATATTTTGTTTTGCTAGCCAATTAGGTAATCTTATGGCAGGATAGCTCATTTATACGGTGAGAAGTTATATTTTTCATAACCATACTATTCTCAACACGTTACACAAAACACAATACTTTTTTAATTATATACCTTTGTTCTTAAACTTTTTTGTTTTAAACATGTCTAGTTCGCTCCCTATTTGCTTGCATCTCTTCTTCTTTGATGCACTAACTGTGTTTAAAACATCCATTCTGTCCACTTCTCCCAGCTCCACTAATACGACAGTATAAAAACAAAATGTTAGTATGATAAAAATTTTTAGATATGAGACAAATAGAAGAATCTTTAGCATAATAGTTTTTATCAGTGTATTTACCTTCCAGATTAATGCCACTATCATCTAAATTTGTTGACTCAGCACCATATATTGATTGTGTGTCAGGTCCGTCAGGTGTTGTGCCACCACACTCAAAGGGTGAGTCTTGCGTGGTGTTTGCATTTTCGTCACGTGATGTGTTTGTTCTTCCATTTTGATTGTCGGATGTGGACGGTGTGTTTGGTTCGTATCTTCTGGTTCCAGATGTTGACGGTCTGCTGCGTTTACCAATTTCCATTTCAGACGTAGACGCTGTGTTTGAATCGTTTATGCTGGTTTCGGCGGTGGACCCCAAGCTGTCTCTTGCGATATTTGTATCTAAGATGTTGAAGGCTAAAAAAATAATGACTATTACTATTTGGCTTTTCAATGACAATCACACGTTTAGTCAATATACACTTTAGATTTCTTTTTAAATAGCATCTGTTCTTAAATAAATTTTTAAAGAAGCTGATAATGATAATACTTTGAAACTAACATAACATGACTGAAGAATAGCCAGTCTATTCCATTTGTAATCTTTTCGCACTTGCTTCCATCTGTATAAAATTAGTTGTTAAGAATGCTAACCTTCCGAAAAAACAATCCAATTCTCACTTCCAAATACAGATTGTTTTATAATTACGCAGTTTCTGGAAGCAGTTTCTACTCCATCTGAGCCTCTGCTGATCTTTTCACCATTTGCATTTGCATTGAAATACTGGCTTCGCCCATTGACCACCCCAATGTCGAGAGACTTAATTTCTTGTCTCACTCTTTCTTCATTCGGAAACAGAATACCGTGATCTTTTAGCAAGGCAAAGAACCATTTCAGTGCCACTGCTACTCCATTTAGTCTTACTCCACTTGAGCTTGACTTAAATGTCACTTTTGGATTTACGCAAGTGAGTAACTAGAAATGAGAAATGTCACAATTATTATTTTATGAATTTGGTCTATGGGCTACGAAATTTATTACAAACGTTTTTGCAAGATATTTTGTGCTCTATTGACTTCATTATTAAGTCCACAATAATTGGCTGTTCTGTTTGAAGCATTGCATGAGACACTTGCGCTTGGTTTGTCTGGAATCGTTTCATCCACACTGGCAGGATTGTTTGTTTGAAAAAAGCGATGGCATTGCTTGGATAGAGATCATCAATATTTGCCAGCCGTATCACCTATGTTATAATTGTGCAAGTTGTCATTGGCTATTGCTCAATTTTTTCATGTTATGTGGTTAATAAGGCAGTTACCTTCTCAGCAAATGCTACCAAAAGTGCATGATTTCTTAAACAGCGGTCGTCGATGTTCGGTGCTTCAATGGCAAATTGTTGACAGAGCTCATTAGTTCGCGTTATGCAGAGGTATTCAACAGATCTGCTAATTGCCACCATGGTCCCAAAAGCACTAGACCCTCTTTCCATTATTACATTGTTTTGGAATTCTGCGTTCTGTTGATTCTCGATTCCGAGAGGACTTCTTGTTCCTTCTTGAAAGGGAATTAGGACAAGCCTTCCAAGTACTCTAAAGCACGTGAAGAAATTACATTAGTGCAATAAAAAGGAAACTTCTTCCATAAATACGGAAAAATCTACCTGGGGTCATTGTTCAATCCCTCTAAAGTTTCCCAATTGACTGTGAACATCGGAATGGTTCGAGGAGCTGCTTCGAAAACACATGTCCCGTCTTTGCCACTGTTGTAGAAAGAGACCGCAACATTTTCAATAACTGTGGCGCTCTTAACGTCGTCGAGCACGGGAGGCAAAGTTGATCTGCTGCATAGCCTGGGGATGAATCTTTCCCTTACTGCTGAAAAGAAGTTTGATCCATTTCCTACAAGACTTAGTGCGGCTTTTGAAGATTTTGTCTTTCCAAGTCTGTTTGTTCCACATACAATGGGCAGGGGACAAAATCCCAGAATATCCACAATCATTTCATAATGAAAGCCTAATAACATTCCAGCTATTTTGGAGGATGGAGGTGTAAATACATGCAACTTCCTATCGGTTGTACTAGGAACTTTTAATTTAGAAGCGGACTGTAAAAGAACATTTCCATCTTCTTCTTCTAAATTGGGACATACCAAAGCCAACACTTCTTTACGTACATTCACGGGGAGTACAAGCAAAGAAGACGCAACATTGGCAATAGAGCACACAAGTGACAACCAATATTTCAAAACAAGAACAAACAGAATTACGTCAACATTTAGATCATTGCAGACTTTCAAATTAATAAATTGGATATCACTTAATATCCTCGACCCCACATATTCTTGATGTAGTTCCTAGTTGACATCTATTCGCAAATCGTCAACCGATTGATAATTGTTACGCCTGCGCTTCGACATATTTTCAGCTTTTCCTAGTCAGAAATGATTTCGGCTTTCCCCAGTGATCCAGTGAGAAATAACTTTTGGCTTTTCCCAGTCAGAAGTCATGGGAAATACTATTATAATGTATATTGTTCAATCCCGATTGCAATTGGCTAAAAACCTAGCTACACTGCTATAGGTGACATATTATATAATTGTTCATGCAAAATTGTAAATAAAAATGTATAATGACAGACTCTTGCTCGATATTTGCAAGCGTTTTGTAAACTGATTTCGCTCGAATTATTGAGTATTAACACGTAAAAATAAACGGAATGGGGTAAATTGTCAGTGAGGAGAGTTTTCATCGAGTATTTTCTGGAGAAAGACGAATGCGACACTGCGGACATTACGTCATTCGAGTGTGATAGTGTGATGTTGTGTGATGTATCACAATATTGCTAGCCAAAGTAGCAAAAAATATATCGCGCATCAGATGAAAAGACTTTCATTCGCGCATTTGTGAATGTCAGCACGAAGTCGCAGCGAGCAAACGTCGCATCAAAGAGCGCGATCTTTATCATGAATTCATAATCTTAGCCTAAGCAAGTAAAAGATACGATAAACATCGCGTGTCAAAACGCAATAAATTGTTGCTTTGAAGGGTAAGTTTAAATTGAAATAAAACCTCTCGAATGATTAGTCAGTCATTAAACAAAACTGTAACGAACTTTCATTACAAGAATTTGTATACGGAAATACGTAAACTCGTCAATCTATGTACAGCTGTTCAAGTCGCACATTTCAACATGTTGACAATTTTTGGTCGGCAGCGATACGTTTTCTATACAATAACTACAAAGTAGCATTCTCATTTCAAATGTTAAATAAGATTATCACACACACGTGTTAAAATGACTCTAACTTCGACCGTTTTAGAAAAACCGTCGTAAAGTATCATACCTAATAGCTGGTCGGGTTCCAAGCCGGACACATTGTCAAGTCCGCAAACAACGAAATAGTCAATGAGCCGTTCTCCCGCAGACGTTGGAGCGGTCATGGCGCTCTTCTTTATGTAACCCTTACTTTAAATAGAGAATACGCCATTTTTTAAGCTACATATCACTGTATGCAAAGTCTCGCATGCATCAAACATGCAAAGAAAAAATCGTTCTCGTTCAAATGTCATGAAGTCATTTGAATCGTTCTCGTTCAAATGTCATGAATGACATGGTTTGATTGATCTCTTGCCACTCCAGCTTCGCGGAGGAAGGACTGTACACTGACCGACCATTGAACTGGACTATTATTTCACCGCTGGCGTTGTTAGATCATGTCAAACCAAACCCATTGAGTTCTAGAAGACCTGGAGGGGAAACGTACGGTGGCCCATAAGGGCCATCACTTAAAAAAAGTCACAACACAAGTAAATGTAATCACAACACAAGTAAAATAATCACAACGCAAGTAAATAAAGTCACAACGCAAGTAAATAAAATCACAACACAAGTAAAATAATCACAACAAGTAAATAAAGTCACAACACAATTAAATATAGTCACAACACAAGTAAATATAATCACAACGCAAGTAAAAATAATCACAACGCAAGTAAATATAATCACAACACAAGTAAATATAATCACAACGCAGAGTAAAATATGAAATACTGGAAATTCTTTTGTGAAGTGGAAACATTGTTGTGATATTTTGCAAAATGGCGCTTGTTTAAATTTGTTACGAAAAAGACTTATTATAAATTATATTCAATATATTGCTTGATGGATAGCAAAAAATGTTTTGTTCAAACTGTGGTATAGAAAGTGTGGAAAATGCGTTTACTGTTATAAATGTGGCAACTCATTCGCACTGGATGTAAAAACTTGAAGAATCTGCAAACACATGTTCTACGTCGAATTCTATAACTAGTGGGATCTCAGTATTATGTGCTAGCGGTACCCTTACTGGTACAACCCAGCCGCCTAAAACGTTAAGTTTTACGATAGCAAGCGCCAGAAGGAAAGCGATAGCGCAGCGACTCGGCCATGCCAGTCCACTCAAAGCAAATTCATGGGGAAACGATAACGATATGAAGTTGCATACATTTGGTTACATGAAGGTCGATAATGACGGAAATTTGAAAAGATGGGTAAACTCTCCCTGTAAAATTTTGCCAAGTGCGAAAAAGAGGAAATCTTAGAAAAGCAGTTAGAAACATGCTAACCACGACAATAACATCCATGGCGAGTTGGGCACGTCCTTTTGAATGTAAACGGGAAGGAAATCACACTTTGCCGGGAACTGAAAAGAGTTTGTGTTAAGCGAATACAGGAAGATATAGGAAGAATTATAATCGCTTAACTTTTCATTGCACTAAAATCTGCATATATGTACAGAGATTTCAAAATTAAGAAGTTGTGATGATAAACCAGAGCTTTCGAATTTTATCTTTTTGTTTTCTTCTCATAAAACAAACCAAGCAATGTTTCAATTAACTTCTTACGACCCTGTCTTTTTCTGACACTTATAATTAAAGACAACCTTAAACAAATTTTATACCAATTTTATCGGTTTATATCTTTCTGATTTAACTCTCCCATTTACTGTTTCTCATGTATCACGAGCAAACCATCCATATGTTTCATGGAAAAGAAACAAGGATTATGTGGTTCCCTTAGTTAACATGCGACGCTCTAGTGCTCAACTATCTCGGGGTATCTGGAGGCATGGACCGAAAACGGGATTCTTTGGTTTTCAAAATTTATCTTTTTCTTTACAAGAATTCTTCTCATAAAAAAACTAGAACGTCCAAGGATACTTCAAAGGTTCAAACAACTTCTGCCTTTTTGAACTATAACTTAAACAAACACTAAGCATGTTTATACGTTTTTTACTTATTACCTTTTACAACGTAACTTTCTCATAACTCTCTCGTGATGAACGAGCCTCCTTATACAATATGACTCTTTCATCATGAACGAACGCATCCATGGGCTTCACGGAAAAAAGGGATTATGTACTTTGTTATAATAGTTTCTACAAAGATAACATTTATTAAGCTAAGAAATTTGAAAATAAATATATTTGAGTTATTAGGAAATAACAAGTCAGAATTCATTGATCATACTCATTCCAATTGGTCTGGAACAACCATGACATTTATAATTTTGACCATCCACCCTTTATCAAGGGCTATTATTAATTAACGACAGTAACTTCATACGTCGTTCTTGCTGAACACCTTCAGGTGAAGTAGGATCATCAATAATCTGTTATATATAAAACATAATTTATCCATAGAATTATAGCAAAGTTACGATGCACAGATAAGAGTTATTAACGCTATAAAACTTAAATTCAATATATCGTATAAAGTACCTCAAATCCCGACGATTTCTCGTATCGAAAGAATTCTAAAGTAAAGGTGATAATTAAGATGAGAAATTTCGAAGAATTGAAACTAGAGAATTTTTCAACAAAAAAATGTTGAAAATACCTGTACTACCACAAGATTCTTCAATGTCTATGCTCTAAAATAATAGTCATAAAAACGACAATTTCAAAAAGCATAAAAAAACTAAGTATTTGTAACATTGGTGAAAGATACAGGATGAACATGAAACCTTCTCAGAAGACGATGGAACGAGACCATAACCATTTGATGTGAACTTCTTCCTAACAACGTTTGCGTAATCCGTTAGCATATCATGAAAACTAACTTCTTGTTTAGGCGACGCTTTACTAGAACCCTCCTCAACGTCTTCAGGACAATTAACGTCTACTGAACTAGTGTCACAAGGCTCAATGACGATGACCAACCACTAGCCATACCTAACATGTTACCACCAGAGATCTTTCTTGGGTAGATCAAGGCTTTAGGAACTTTAGACAAGGGTTTCGTTGAGCTGAGAACTAAAAAAGAACAAATATGGATAGATGATGAAGTGGAGAACAAGAATAGAGGTTAAAGAAGACACACTACGTATGCTCATTGGTGTTTCACAAGAGTATACATTACAGGATAACTATGGATCCAACTAGTCTAAATAACTACGTACATTTAAGCAATCCAACTTTCCCATGGTAAACACATGTGTCAAAAAGTGATCAAATTACAAAATTCGTGCAATCAAATAGTCGGACATGGTATTGTATTTGTAGAAGAGAGCCAATAAAATAAAAAGATTCTCTTGAGGCATTTGTAAATATTAGTTTAGAAATACAGATCGACTAATTATAAAGGCAGAAGATGTAAGAGTGAATAAAACCATTTCCGTCAAATCAAAGGAAAGCTTGGATATGACATGCAATATGCAGATATAAAGTTGTAGAGAAAAATAAAAAACATTTTTAACGTTGTCACGGATATTACGAGTGCCGTAACAAAGTGTTGACGAGTTTCACATGCATTTGTAAAAACAAGCTTAAGTAGACAAAAAGCATGCCAAAAATATATGATGGAAAACTTGCTCAGCGCATCTACAAGCACCAATTTCAGAGCTCGCTCTGTCACAAATTAATTCAGAATCTGAGCATGCGTTGTCAACTCCACAAACTCTCCAAGCTCATGGTAACGACCAACTGGATGTACTAGTACCGATTTTGGAGTAATTAGCTCGCTCAGTCACACGTTTTAAGACAAATCATCTGCGCATGCGCAGTCTTATTGAGTATGCGCAATCAACTTGACCAGCTACCCAAGTTCGTGGTCATGGCAACGACCAACTGCATCTACTAGTACCAATTTTGAAGTAAATAGCATGCTTAGTAACAATTTAATAGAGAAATCGTCTGCGCATGCGCTCGAACATGCGCAGTCCACTCGAGTAATTGTTCATAGTCATGACAACGACCAACTATATGTACTTGCACTACATTTGTGTCAATTAACTCACTTAGTCGCAAATTATCGAAGAAACTATCTGGGCATGCGCAGTAACGATAACAATCATCCCACAACTTTCGTAGGCCTTTAAATTTTGGTATATATATAAAGCTAAAACTCCATATAGTAGATGTCAAGTAGCAGTGGAAGCTGGATGCGATATAGTATGCAGTGGCTTAGGGGCCCTCACTTCGGTGGTGGCGACCGCACTCTCCCAGCGTACCCTGAGCAAAGCCTATCGCAGGTGATCTCAGGGTTTGATGGGCGGAAACTTGCTATTGGCATCTCCCAAGTAGGATAGCGTGGAGGGGCCGAAATCTCCTACCGAAACGATAACATGCGGCGTTCTAGTGCCTTGTGCTTAAGAAGGTATCGGGAAGCATGGACCGAAAACGGGGTTTTTTGCTTTCGAATTTTATCTTTTTGTTTTCTTCTCATAAAACAAACCAAGCAATGTTTCAATTAATTTCTTAGGACCCTGTCTTTTTCTGACACTTATAATTAAAGACAACCTTAAACAAGTTTTATACCAATTTTATCGGTTTATATCTTTCTGATTTAACTCTCCCATTTACTGTTTCTCATGTATTACGAGCAAACCATCCATATGTTTCATGGAAAACAAACAAGGATTATGTGGTTCCCTTAGTTAACATGCGACGCTCTAGTGCTCAACTATCTCGGGGTATCTGGAGGCATGGACCGAAAACGGGATTCTTTGGTTTTCAAAATTTATCTTTTTCTTTACAAGAATTCTTCTCATAAAAAAAACTAGAACCTCCAAGGATACTTCAAATGTTCAAACAACTTCTGTCTTTTTAAATTATAACTTAAACAAACACTAAGCATGTTTATACGTTTTTTACTTATTACCTTTTACAACGTAACTTTCTCATAACTCTCTCGTGATGAACGAGAGCCTCCTTATACAATATGACTCTTTCATCATGAACGAACGCATCCATGGCCTTCACGGAAAAAAGGAATTATGTACTTTGTTATAATAGTTTCTACAAAGAAAACATTTATTAAGCTAAGAAATTTGAAAATAAATATATTTGAGTTATTAGGATATAACAAGTCAAGAATTCATTGATCATACTCATTCCAATTGATCTGGAACAACCATGACATTTATAATTTTGACCATCCACCCCTTTATCAAGGGCTATATTATTAATTTACGACAGTAACTTCATACGTCGTTCTTGCTGAACACCTTCAGGTGAAGTCGGATCATCAATAATCTGTTATATATAAAAACATAATTTATCTATAGAATTATAGCAAAGTTACGATGGACAGATGAGAGTTATTAACGCTATAAAACTTAAATTCATTTTTAGTTCGTATTATATTTGTGTCATCTGCTCCATCTCACTAATGTTACTTATATGAACTGGAATTCTCAGCAGAAGATCGCATGTTGATGTTGTGGGGCGACATTTACAATTTTCTTTGCAATCATGTACAAACGTTACGGAAAATTTTTGGAAAACCCAGAACTGGAATAGTCTTACATCCCGATAACCACTTCAGAAACGCTGATATGGATACGTCTCCTGTTAAAAACATTTTAAACATTTAAGACTGAAAAATGAATAAACAAACTAATCAAGGTATCCATTTTTGTTTTATACCACAACTTCAGATTAGAAAACATCACTTCAATAAATTTTACGCGTTATTTGATACTTTCAAAAAATTCCATCGTAAATACAATAATACAATTTGGCACCCAATTTACAACATATATATTCAAACTAACCTTCAGTATCTAGGGTTTGCACATAGTCGCAAAATATCTTTTACACGTCAACCTCCTTTTCCTTGTGAATCTGCGAACTGCTGAATGTTGGAATAATTTCATTGAGGAAAGTATCAGCAGAAAGTTTAAACGAATCGTTATAAGGATCGAACAATGGCTTCCACAACTCTGGATTTTCTATCATATAATTTATAAGACCACAACTGCTGAGGCCTTCAAGCAATTGCATAATTTGAGGAAGAACTGATGAAAAGTGGCCCATTACGCAAATTGACCTTTAAAAATAGAAATAAATCTTAGACTTTGTAAACCAGCAGCACAAGAATAGTTTTTTTAATCTCCATTAACTTTCAAAATGTACTTACTGAGCAATTTTGGAAACAGTATGCACTGTCTCTTTATGTGGTACACCAGTGTATCCAGCCTCTGATAGCATTTCAATCATATCATCGCTGACAAGTATCTCCCTCAACATTTCATCGTCACAAGCTTGCTTTATCTTTGAAAAGGAGAAGTGTAAAGTAATCATTACTGACATCAGAGAATATAATAAAATAGACTTATTTCAAAATCATGCCACAGCAAGGAGTAATAATCAAGCATATGGTAATCTCCATCTTGTTGCAGCATACCTTTTAACAGCTTTTGTACTTGAGTCGGGCATTCCTTCTGTTGTGAGTGCCTGTTTGGTGATGTACTTGTAAACATCTGGACTTATAAAGATGAAGCTGGTCCGCCTTGAAGTAATGACATCACCATGACCTCGCCAGCAAAACGAAAGTCTCCATTCATGATGGCGACAGTTGAATTAATAGGTTTTCCATTACAGAACAGTCTTCTTTCCATATGCTCCAACATTTCTGATGAAAGAATTAACATCTAATCATATTTTTTCAATTGTCCCCATCCTATATTTAAACCAAACTTGTCAACATTGATTGATGCATGATAGACAAATTATGGGAAATAAGCTGCAAAGGAATTGAAGTGTAGCAGAACAATATATTTATTTTAAATCAACAGGGTGCTCATATTAACCCTAGAAACATATGTCTTACAATATTAGTACCTGAAAAAAACTCTCTCTTTGGCCCCCCGTCATCAATTGCACACTCTCCAACAAACACTATCTTTACACTGTCAGTTGGTGACACTTTACCACTTGATCTATACTCAATGAAGTCACACCATATATTTTTTCTACGAACATTTAATCTTACTGCCTTTGGTGACAATGTTACAGCTTTAATATCCAATAACTTATCTTTCACATTTGTAGTGTTATCTTGGTTTATCACCACATAAGGATTTTCTTCGGGAATGTTCTTTTCACTATCCGTATTTTGAGATTGAAGTGCTCCCACCCATATGTCACAACATATATCTGCATGCTCTGCTATTTCATCTATTGAAAAGTATTGTTGACATGTTGGGCACTCACATTTGAGCTCCTTAGTAGTATAGTACATGGGGGTAGGGGATCAAAAAAAGTTTACTTTTTTTTATCCCATACGCCCCATGTACTATACTACATATAACCTTGGGTAACAACTATCTTTATAACAGCGTAAAATAAGACCATGGTTCAAAAGGCGTCCCTCAGTAAAAGGTCATGTAAAAAAGCTGTGTAAAAAATAGTCATTGTTTCAAAGGGGGTAAAAATCTCGAGGTTACAATTTATCGTTTAAAAATATAGAATCTATATGTTTTTGAAATATATAGGTGCGTTTAAATTTTACAAACGGTCTTTACAAACAAATGTTAACAAGCATCGGTTCGGAGAGGGCTCGGCAGCGCAAATTTTAGCGTAGCTAAAATTGAGCAGGGGAATGGAGCCCTCGAGAATTCTGGAACCCAGGTGGGGAAAATTTTTCACGAAGTGAAAAATTCGGGGTTCCCCCGTAGATTCGAAGAATATTCGAAGAATATTCGAGAATAACAGAGGCTTAAAAAATGCTCTTCAAAAAACCGTCTTTAATAATCAAGTGTTAATAATCAAGTGTTAATAAAGCATTGGTTTTGATGGGGCTCGGCAGCGCAGAGCACAAAGTGCTCGAGCAGGGGATGGAGCCCCATCAAATTATAGGCGACGATGGGAAAATTTTTCACGAAGTGAAAAATTGGGGTCGCCCCCATTGGATTCGAAGAATATTCGAGAATAACAGAGGCTTAAAAAATGCTCTTCAAAAAACCGTCTTTAATAATCAAGTGTTAATAAAGCATTGGTTTTGATGGGGCTCGGCAGCGCAGAGCACAAAGTGCTCGAGCAGGGGATGGAGCCCCATCAAATTATAGGCGACGATGGGAAAATTTTTCACGAAGTGAAAAATTGTGGTCGCCCCCATTGGATTCGAAGAATATTCGAAGAATATTCGAGAATAACAGAGGCTTAAAAAATGCTCTTCAAAAAACCGTCTTTAGAAATCAAGTGTTAACAAGGCCCTGCCAGATCTGTCAGGCGCGTGTCTTAGTGCATGTTTTTAACAATGGTTGTTTAATGTAGATAGCACATTTCATCAGCGCGTTTTAATAATCAAGTGTTAATAATTTAATGTTTTATAAACTACCTTCAGCAAACAATGTCATAGATGCTCTTTACAAAATATGGAATCTATATGTTTTATATAATTTTTGTTAAAAGTGTTTTTACTAATTGTTTCAGGATTTTGAATCTTTTTGTATATCGCTTTTGTATTAATTACTTATTACAAACAGTTATGTGATATGTAGTCAAACATGAGGAGCAGGTATGTATGATTTTACTCTAACAGAGGCCCACGCTACATGCTTACTACATATTATAACTGTATATTAAAATAAGTTTTAATTATTATTTAAATAATGACCATAAGCTCTAGTAGATATACCATCATCTAATATATACCGTTTATCATCAAAACAGCTAAGTGATACTTTATTAATTTCATAACTACTAAGTTGATGGTTTACACTTCTAATAGTTTTCATTGTATGATGTATTTGTTTATTTTCAAATAGTGTTTGTTTATAGTCTTCATATTTTATTTTGTTTTTAATAATATTTTTCTTAATTCCTTTAGCTTTTTATCTCCTTTATTATTATCTTTAATATAACTATACATCTTACTTCTTAAACCAACAAATTCTTTAATTACTATTCCCGAAGCTTCATCTTTCATTTTACCAATAACTTTTTTATTAGTATTATCATAATATTTATGGTATTTATCATAATCACTGTTATCAAATTTATCTTTATCACTCCAAAATCTTGATAGACATCATTAGTTTCAATTTCATATGTTAAACTATCTGTATCTGTGAATAATAATTTAGCTTTATCACCATACCGATTTTGATATAGTTGTAATGAAAATCATACATCAAAGTTTTACTTAAATCTAAGATACACATACCCACATATGCAGGTCTGTTGAGCACCAATTGTTCTTTGATCTTATGCACAGCCACAAGGTTCTCATTGAAAATTTTACTACTTACATAAGTAGGTTTTGAAGCTAATTTTAATAATTTATTTTTATTAGTTACTAGTCTAACATCTACTCTTTTCGTAAGTTTTCCATCGTCTTACCAAAACACTGTTATTCATGAGTTTGAAGAAGTCTTTTTCAAAAGAATTTTTTGCATTAGTTCTTTTTTGAGTATTAAAGTCTATGTATTTTTTCAACCATGGAGATTGATTGAATTCAAGTACTCTATGTACTTTTTTTAATTTTAACCCAAGATCTAAATATAGTTGAAGATTTCTATAATGTAAAACGTATTTGTATTTATTTTGCAATGTAGGTATTAATTTTGAAACTAAACCTGTTGATATATTGTAATTAGAAGCAATTGTCTTACAATATTTTGACAGCATGTTGCTAGTTACCTTAATTTTTTCAGGTCCTAGTGGATAATCGTTATGTAAATTATGTAGTTCTTCAGGGTATTCTAAATCAACTTCTAAAATTAAACCTTTTTTACTATCTGCTTGATATTTAGCAAGGTTTATGTTGTTAATCTGTTTATCATTTAACCATTTGAAATTACCAGTAGGTAAGTTTTGTGACATAGCCCATCCATACAGATTGTTAGCGTCAAGATACATTATATATTTTGAGGGTTTATTCTTATCAAATGTTTCCATATACTTGTTATTAGCTTTACCATATCGGTTAGAAATATAAGAAATACCTCCTCTCATACCTTTTTCAATGAATTGAAACATATCAATATCAGTCATTAGTTCTAATTTAATATTTGTCATTTTTAACATAGCATCCCAGCTTAATCCCGGACTCGTGAAATAATGACATGGGTCTAAGTTATAATATTGAAAACATGTTTTTCGAAAGTTTTCAAATACATCAGCTAATAACAAAACATCAGATTTCAGATACAAATCGTGGTAATCACCCATGTTTTTGAGATTGAATGTATTCCACACTTTCTGTGCATGATTATAAGAATCATCTGATATATTTTCATCAGTAAGAATACTATAAAAATCTTTTTTTGAAGGCAACCCCTCATAAAACTTGTCAAAACTATCCATATAATCATATGGGTATATACCTTTCCTAGTCATTAAATTAAGTTTTTCATCTTTAAACTGATTAGAGGTATATTTAAATGACTCTTTAGGTAAATTACTAACAAGCTTATCAAGACTAGAGCTCATAAATTGAAAACTATCAAGGAATGTGAGATGGTTTCCTAACATAAAAGCCATATACTTTTCCATATTATTAGGTATAGCATTTATATTCATATGCGTTTCCTCACCTTTTTTGTTTTTGTATGTATGCTTATTAACAATAGCTCCGATCTCTTGCATTATGAAGTGACTGTCATACCCACGTAGATTGTGAAATATTACTGGGATCTTTAATTTATCAGAGTCTATTCTAAGTTTTAAGTTACAATCTTGATGTGCTGAGCCTCTATATTTTCCAGTGATATGACAATGGTCTCGAACTCTAATATCTTTGTTAGTATATTTTTTGTTACAAATATGACATTCATCAGCTTTTTTAAATTCTTCTTCATCATCAGTGGTCATTTTTAATGGTTTATTAAAGTGGGTTTTCATAATATTTTTACAATATTTAACTTCTTTCAACATAGCTTCCATAAATTTGTAAACAGCTTTTTCACCTCTATATAGTTGAATTTTTTGTAAATTTATCATCATAACAACAAACAACTTTATATCCATAACCACAGTCTATGTGTTTTGATAGGCTTCTGTGAATGATTTTTATTATTCTGATTACAACCAGATATCTTTTCTGTAATAGCCTCAAAGTCTGCATATATAACAAATGGTACTGGTTGTTGCTTATGATAGTTGTTGAATTTAAGTATGTTGTTATTTTTATCAGGCATTCTTATTGATTGTATACCATTTATTAATATACAGTTTTCTATATGGTTATTTAATATTTTTCAGAACTAAAACATTGAAGACAGCATACAAAAGTGTTTTCTTTCTTTATGCTTTGTTTGATTGTACATAAATGCATTAAAATTTTTTATTAGAATATAATGTTTGTTTTTATTA